AAAGGCCGCTGTGGTTTGAGATCTTTCTGCAAGGTGGTAGTTGCCATCTTGGTGCACTCAAGCTGTTACAGCTCTCCAACATGGCAGATGTATACAAAATTCTTTCCTCTGATGTACAAAACATTTGTTCGCCGAAAAATTCGTCCTCAAAAGCTAAACATTCGCCACATTTTTTTATTAGATCTATGATGAAATCCCTACTTATTCTCTTAAGATAAATTTAAAGCATCGATGGCATCACTGTAACCCACATATTTTGATTTTTGGGCTCATTATACACTCCAGTGCCATTTGCATCCCAGACATGGTCACGTGACTAAACCAATATTTACTCCAGAATAGTTCAAGGTTTTACGAACATGATGAACATTGTCTTCCTGTGAAAGTGGTCCCAGTCGAGACAAAGGTTGATATTACCTCTTATGATGTGTCCGGTTTGAAGGACTCATCTTTATAAAATTGACCAGTACTTTCAGTTATATATAAGCGAATGCATTGAAGTAAGCTTTAACAGCCGGACTATGTGCCACAGTTGCTAACATTTTTAACGACGAAACGATTTCATTTCAGGTTGAACTTGAAAAGATTTGTGTTTGGATCAGCTCTGCGGTAAGTTTTATCTGCTGGTAGTAACAAAGTGGGATTTATTGAAAACAATTATATGGAGATGCTTTATGCAAATTCAGTTTTGTGGTTGATGAAACTAAATATTATTCTGAAAAAAACGAGTCGACATCCATATTATATTTTTGAGATCGGGCTTTAAATGAAGAAAAAATAATTTGCTCTAAATTAACACACTCTTGTCCTTGCTGCGAAAGGAAAAGCTATAGGAGTGATTTTAAAACATAAAGAAATGAATGGAAGATCTTTTAGATCTCAATCTTTTTGGCAAAGCTTTGTCTCGTCGGAGAAACATTATACTCGCTGTAGGTTCAACAAACATGTTTTAACAACCTGTTAAAACTATTAAAAATTTTCAGCTAAAATTCCTTTTAAAATAATGCCAGATTCTACACTCAGTCTCAGTATACTTGCTGAGGTTTAAATAATCTTTTAGATTGTTGCCGCTAAATAGTCTCGTTGCTGGTCTTTTTCTCTACAGAAAACTCTCCAAAAAGTTCAAATGTGTATACCTCGAATCAGTTTAAAGACCGTGCAAAGTCCATAGACTGAACCACAGTACCATTTCTGAACTCGAATTCAAAAAAATATATTAGATGCGAAGAAGCTAGGTGTTGAAGCTATGCTTCGCTCACTATTTACACATGANTCAGTTACAGATATGCTGCTATCGACTGACTAACTATTGTTCTGCACTCAGTGGTTAGAATTCAGTTTAGACCAAAAAAAAGTAAACGTATATTCTATTTGCTTGTTAAAAAAGTTGCATTGCTAGCCGACACCTTTCGAATCATAATGAAACGACAGAAGCTCTATGACGAATTTTTGGATTGTTACCAGTAAACGCAAAGATCTTAAACTTGCTGTTTATAATTAGGAAAAATTAGTTTATTTTTCTAGTCTATACGACCATAATCCTATACTGCATTAGGTAATGTAAATATCAGTGAATAATTCATTTAATGAAGGACGGTAAACAACAATAGGAATAATTATTATAATAATACTTGCTCTACGTGTAAAAACTGAAAGTATCACTTTCTATCGCCCGCAGTTTCAGTGAACGTAACTTAAAGGAGTTATGTCCCAATAATTTTCATACACAACATTAAAACGCGCAAACATCAAAATATTAGTTTACTTCGAAAGATAGGAAGAAAATCATCAAGACAATAAATAAATAAATAAATACTTAAATACATGAAGAAATACATAAATAAATAAAAATAAACAAGTATGGTTAAAAGAGGTACGCCTCGGTTTACGCATCTTGAAAAGTTTAGCCTAAATTTTTTAAGTTACTCGTTTGTAATCTGGGTCAATCTGCTCCATCCTTAACCGTCCTTGTTTCTTTATGGTTTATTATTATCCCTTTGGTGTTTTTCTTACTTAGCAAACTATTATTTTCAGCCAGTTTCCTTCAATTTAAAGGCAATTTTGTACGTGGCCAAAATGGCTCAAAATACTGTGATGGAGCTCCTTTAAGTCCGACTAAGGAACAGTTAAAGAGAATTATCAACGACGATCATTACATAGAGGTTAAAAGGATTAAGAATCTTTGAGCAGCTGCACCGAACGTTAACCCGCTATCTCGACCTCGCAGAGTTTGAGAGGACGGGGAAAATAATTTAAGTTGGAGATGGCGAGGTTGAACGGTACATATAAATAAAATCCACACCGATGACCTTAGCGATGCTGGGGTAAAATAAAACGAGCTTTATTTCGCGAATCAGTCGGCATCAAAACATTTTACATCGGACTGTTCTAGTGCAAAGTCTAGCTCTCACTTGTATATATCTGTTTGCTTGTTTTACTTCGAAATCTGAATGCAATGTTTCTTTTTAGAAATCAATACAGTTTACTTGTTTTGACGCCACATTTACCATACGTTATAACCGAAACAATTAGGTTAAACTGACTTTACAATATATGTAAGAAGCAGGACTTTTTTAAATTAAGTTCTTCATACAATGAGCGCTGTCTTAGATATGTCACTTCAATAATAACATTGTCGATTCCGGATGTAGTGACGCGGGTCAGGTAATGAACGATAAACGACCGCGTTAATGGCAGTTTTTGTGTTATCAATTTGTAAACGAACCTCACATAAAATGCTTTTAGCTTGTCGTGTTTTGTTTTATCGGATGTTGCCTCGGTAACCAAAATTCTAATATGCCTAGAGTGACTCATCGTTATTACAAAACTAATGAGGGCAAAACACACTTGAAGTAGCGTCACTGTTGAAAGTAAGCGTGCTGCTAGAGCATACCACGTTTCCTTGCGTCTCCGTATTTTGTAGTCTGGCATGATCTGGACATGAAAAGCTCGTTTTAATTCCTTGTCTGTCTTACTTAATATACGATGAGCACAGCAACCTAGTAAATCTCTTTGATGTTGACATTTTCACGCAGAGGCAGTCGATATTATGTCAAATGAACATCTATTGCAGGTCTTCTGTTTTTATTAAACTTGACCCACGTGACATGGTCTTAACCCTTAATTAATTTTAGGAGTGATCAAAGTCTAATTTCTGGTTAGAATACCAACAAATTATCAAGCAGAAAGATGACGAGAATTAAGAAAATCATCAATTAGTATTGTCTTGATGTAACACCAAATTCTCAGATCTGACAATAAAAGAAATGTATGACTGTCAGTGAGAAGAATCAACTTTTTCAACTTGAGGCTTAAAGGGTTAAATCCATCCACTAACATTATTTGTACGCTCTGACGCAGGCTTTTGAAATAAACACGCCGCTGAGAACAAATGACTTAAGCTTTCACGACGTCAGTGCTTCGCCAATTACCAAAATTACACAGAATAATTTGATCTGCGTAGAGACTTCCACAATCATTGGCAAGGAAGGGATATATTTGGATGACAACTGTAAAGCTAAAAAGAAAAAAAGGGCTGCAAGTCGCTTGCTTCATTACCAAGTGCTTTTGTTGCGGCACTGGAATTCGCTTTAAGTAAGTAAGACTATATGTCTCGTTTATTTTATCGTTGGCCCTTTCGTTACGTGTCCTGTCTCCTTTATACTTACATAAACCACTGAACTAAACATGATCGTTTTCTTTTGGTACTGTAAAACGCTGATTGTTGCCAGCCGAAACGATGAAAAATTCGCTTCAGTCAAGATCAGCATGTATAGTCGATATAAGTACACAAATAACTTAGTTATAAATATACAATCGGTGCGATAATCCGATTTCAAAACGTGCTTCTGTCGTTAAAAGCGAATACATATAACTAAGATTTTTTTTTTGAGAATCTACACTACTGCTAGTAGAGCGAAAGAAAAAACTTCGGTGAGTCAACTAAGAAGTTCACAGTTCAACGACAGAGTGAGAAAAGTAAACGATGTCACTGTTTAGTTAAAAGGTGTTCGTCTGTACATAGCATAAGTAATCGGCTAATAAACACTTCGGTGTTGGGGAAACCAAGGAACACAGATTAGAAATTTCTGACACTGTTTCTGGCAACGTGATGTACTGGAGAGTTCCGTTTCGACGAGATATAGAACGAAAGGAACTGTAATTAGGGGTCTAATTAATCACTCGTATTTCTCCAATGATTTCGTCAGTCGTTCGAATGTCCACTCGTAAACGTTTCACCCATAGTGACAGACTGAAAAGCTAGAACCAACTTGAAAAGCATCAAGGCTAGTACCCCATGAAAATGCTGTATAGTAGCTTTCATTTGAACGGTCACACACTAGGGCTCTACATACTCAAGAGCTGATTAAACAACTTGTACAGCAAACAATAGTTACTCACGCGTTGCGCTCGTTCGTAAAATATTGTTTTTACCACTCGGAAATAAAATTCATATCTTCGCGCCGCCGTGTAATATCCTCTATATATCATTTAAAACCGCAATTTCATTTGATATATAACCTTTATGTATAACCTTTATTTACCCTCGACAATGTTTATAGCACAAGTGCTAGTTGGGCCGAGCAAACAACTGAAACAAATAATTCAAATTGAACATAACGTTGATAAGAATCCCAACTGACCGGAGGCAAACCAGTTGGCTATTTTCAAGCGTGGCCGAGGATTTGAACTCGAGGCTACCTAGAAACAAATACAGGTAGTAGTTAGAGCGGGACTCGAACCCCGGACCGCTGGATTTCGAGTCCGACACGCTGCCTCCTTGATATTATTAAGTTTAGCTTCAGATAAGTTCAATTTTGCGTTATCATTTTCGGAAGGGGGTCAGTTCACAAATTTTGGATTACGAGGGGCCTGGGTAAAAATTGTTGATCAGTGAGGAGGGGGGGTCATAAGATCTTACAAAATGTCTATCAAGGCCCTTAAACGCATGAAAGCACTGTTCAATAGTTTTCAGTAAGTGGAATCATAATAGGATTTCATCAACACATGTTAATTACACACACGCTATAAACATGATAGACATGCGAGCTGAAAATGATGCATGAGAAAGATGGCTATAATAAGTGGTATAATGCAGTTCTGAACCTTCAGCAGCATTTCACCACTAGGAGAGAAGGCTGACACAAAACTAACAACTGATTTGTGGGCGGAGTCAGTTTATCAAATTAATATAAAGGGGCTAACGTAAACAGCTTGATGCTGTTGATACGTTGAAATAATAATGCGTGCTAATATCTATTTTACCTGAACGGTCTTCTTAAATTTCTGTTTTGCGCTCACTACCCACAACATGCAGTTTGCGAGGATCTGACGTCATCAAAATTGTAACGTCTCTTACCACGTACTCTACAGAGTTGTCGCTGACGGTTTCAATAAGGAGAATGCTCATAAATTTTCATGTCTCTAGATTGGTTTTCTTTGGAGAATTGAGTTTTTTTTCCACTGAGCATGCTTTTTTCGAATGGCACAAATCTTTATTTTCTTTCAGTAGTGTCTTGTGCACAGCAAACCTTATTATGAGAAATTGAAGTAAAGAGAAAGATTTGTTAGAAAAGGCCGCTGTGGTTTGAGATCTTTCTGCAAGGTGGTAGTTGCCATCTTGGTGCACTCAAGCTGTTACAGCTCTCCAACATGGCAGATGTATACAAAATTCTTTCCTCTGATGTACAAAACATTTGTTCGCCGAAAAATTCGTCCTCAAAAGCTAAACATTCGCCACATTTTTTTATTAGATCTATGATGAAATCCCTACTTATTCTCTTAAGATAAATTTAAAGCATCGATGGCATCACTGTAACCCACATATTTTGATTTTTGGGCTCATTATACACTCCAGTGCCATTTGCATCCCAGACATGGTCACGTGACTAAACCAATATTTACTCCAGAATAGTTCAAGGTTTTACGAACATGATGAACATTGTCTTCCTGTGAAAGTGGTCCCAGTCGAGACAAAGGTTGATATTACCTCTTATGATGTGTCCGGTTTGAAGGACTCATCTTTATAAAATTGACCAGTACTTTCAGTTATATATAAGCGAATGCATTGAAGTAAGCTTTAACAGCCGGACTATGTGCCACAGTTGCTAACATTTTTAACGACGAAACGATTTCATTTCAGGTTGAACTTGAAAAGATTTGTGTTTGGATCAGCTCTGCGGTAAGTTTTATCTGTTGGTAGTAACAAAGTGGGATTTATTGAAAACAATTATATGGAGATGCTTTATGCAAATTCAGTTTTGTGGTTGATGAAACTAAATATTATTCTGAAAAAAACGAGTCGACATCCATATTATATTTTTGAGATCGGGCTTTAAATGAAGAAAAAATAATTTGCTCTAAATTAACACACTCTTGTCCTTGCTGCGAAAGGAAAAGCTATAGGAGTGATTTTAAAACATAAAGAAATGAATGGAAGATCTTTTAGATCTCAATCTTTTTGGCAAAGCTTTGTCTCGTCGGAGAAACATTATACTCGCTGTAGGTTCAACAAACATGTTTTAACAACCTGTTAAAACTATTAAAAATTTTCAGCTAAAATTCCTTTTAAAATAATGCCAGATTCTACACTCAGTCTCAGTATACTTGCTGAGGTTTAAATAATCTTTTAGATTGTTGCCGCTAAATAGTCTCGTTGCTGGTCTTTTTCTCTACAGAAAACTCTCCAAAAAGTTCAAATGTGTATACCTCGAATCAGTTTAAAGACCGTGCAAAACAAAGTCCATAGACTGAACCACAGTACCATTTCTGAACTCGAATTCAAAAAAATATATTAGATGCGAAGAAGCTAGGTGTTGAAGCTATGCTTCGCTCACTATTTACACATGACAGAAATAGATTGCTTCGCCACTCGTTCAGAAAATAGTTTTTTTTCCTTTGGGAAAATATAGGTAACGGTCAATGTAACAGCCCAATGGCCCTTAAAGATGAGATTCATCGAATCGTTTTAATCCAAACATTCAGAGAAATTGTTTTGTATTTTTTTCGTAGAGAAAGATAAATGTCCTAAAGCACAGGTGACAGAAATTAATAAGTACGGGAAGCAAGTGACAGACAAGGTCGGAATGGTTACTCCACATCGCTTAAATCTTGTCAGTTTTAGACAGTTTACTTAGATCTTCCTGTTTAACGAAGTAATTTCAACTGAACCATTTGCTTTAATTTGTAAATGACAGTCTTTACCCTGTTGTGTTTAATTGGCTGGACGAATTAGTTTGCCGTAACGCTGACAGGTTAGCTTAAATTATTATTGAAATCCTGCTATTCTTTCCAAGGAGCTAGGTACACATAAATAATTCAGTATTATGTCACCGCTCTTCAATGAAAAGCAATGTTATTTTCAGCCTAAAGAATTCAAAATAACGCCGTTCATTTAAGAAGCCAGCATTATATTGTTTTTTCCAGTTCCCATGTTGTGCTGTTCACTGATGCTACTGTTCTGTGCCTTTCTGTTTCCTTACTGATCCATACTACTTGACAAATAAAACGATATGAAGTTCACGAAAAAAGGAAACCCAAATGTGACATGGAAATTAGTAAAAATGAAAAAGGGAGAAATAACAAAAATTGCATGTTGTACCTTGGTCTTAGTGAATGTACGAAGAAATATAGAAAAGAAATATACGAAGACTTCAATTGTATTTTTATAGATTATTTGCGTTTACTTTTGCAACCCGTGTAGTCGTAGTAATTCTTGCTCCAAACTGCTGAGTTTCTGTTGAAATGTTTCATAAGTTATTCAGTGTCAACGTGGGTACAGCGAGCGATGATGCTAGAGTAGAGAAAACCGACACGTATGCAATCTCGTTCCCAGAGTCTTTGTTCCCCTTGACCAACGGTCGGAAAACGAGAGCTCTGGGAGCAACCATTTCAGGCATGCGCCATAGATGCAGACTGCGCAGTGAAACCGGATAGGCAGAATCCCCAGAATTCGGTTATTTCAAAATGGTTGCTCCCAGAGCTCTCGTTTTCCGACCGCTGGTCAAGGGGAACGAAGACTCTGGGAACGAGATTGACACGTATGTTCAATAGTAAACCGGAACGATTTAATGTGCGTTTAACACCTTTGCACGTGACCACTAAATCATATCTGCATAACTTTGAATTATTCTAAACAAATTCTGAGTAAGAAAACACTCATTTCCACAGTGAAGGAAACTGTCACTGGTTCGGAACACGAAGATAGCCGCTGTGATGTCACGAAAACGCTCATTGTATGAAGCAAGAAAATCGACGGCGTTCAAAATAATTAGGGAGTTTTAAGTAACCACTGCGGCGACATTGAGGACAAAGTCGATTAAAAATTGAATTTATATTTTACCTACTAATCGCACTGTCAAAACTATCTCGAAACAGAATATTCGACACAGCGTTGAATTCGATAAAGAAATATATAATGGTAATTGAACTGAGTGGAGTGCAATTTGGTCTGAAATCATACGCGTGATTTCAAAATCGATTTCAAATCACAAGTATGATTTCAGACCAAAATTGCACGACACGAAGTTCAATTGCCACTTTATT